TAGAATCGTGTGATTAGAATCATTTTTAATTTACGTGTATTTTTTATGAGAGAAAATACTGTAACAAATTACGAACTATGATTCGAATCAGATAACGAATCTCCCAACCAAACAACCCATAAACTATCCTTAATGAACAAAAAGTTTTTTCGTTTCATAAAAAATGTTACCCAAAATATCGTGTACTTTACTAACTATCGTATGAATATTCTAACGACCGTAAAATTTACACTTCAATCGTTTACTTTGTCTTACACATCGTTTCTTATACCGAACAGTTGCCATTTTTTATTTTCATTTTACGTTTTTTAACTGAAGACTTGACGAGGAAAAAACATTTTTTTAATTTGTTATTTCACTCATCGTTAAATTTACAACTTAATCATAACATTTTCACTTTTATTTGTTTCTTTACGAGAAATATACTTATACGTTGCATGTTTCATAAAATTTAACAGATTCTTCATTTATTTTCGTCTATTTTTTCGCTTCCTTTGATAAAAATATACTTATTAACGATTTTTATTAAACTTTTAGCGATCGTCTAATATGCATAACGATCGGCAAATTTTTGAAAATATAACTGTAACTTTTTGTGATTGTCTAACGATCGCCAAATTTTTTGAAAGTATAACTCTTTACAAAACTTGCACGATTGTTGGATTTCAGTAAGAACAAAAAAGTGCTTTCTCCCAAATAATAAAAATAATAAGTTAAATAGCTGAATGGTTGAACTGTGACTTTTACCCCTTACTCTTAATAAATATATTTTTATTAGTATAATTATTTGACTAAAAGAGTTATGAATTAAGAATAAAAGATAAAAATCTTAATCTATACACTTTCAAAGAGTATTTATCAAGATTATCCGTTAAAATTTGGTCATTCTTGCGTGTTACAAACCTTTTTTTTTTCTCTTATGTTTCCTCCACTGTTGCCATTGAAAAACACCTAAAAAAGATTTCTAATTATTATATACTTCCTCAATAAGATATTAGTTTTAGTATTATTTATTATACATTATCATTTAAAAAAAAAAATTAACGTATCGTACTTTGAGAAGTGTTGCACAAAATTTTTTTCCTTTAAAAAATACGTATAGGTTGTGACTCTTAGAGTATGTTTGGTAGGAAAGAAAAGTATAAGGAAGGAAGAATGTGAAGGAATTTTAAGAGAAAAAATAAAAATGTAGGTTGTTTAGTAGGAGAGAAAAGAGAAATGAAGAGAAAATAGAGTAGTGGAAAATAATACATGTGGGCTCCACTATTTTTTTCTTTCCACAAGTGGGCAGAAAATGGGATGAAAAATGAGGACAACCTACTATTTTTTTTCTTTCCACAAGTGGGCAGAAAATGGGATGGAAAATAAGGACAACTCATTAAAGTGAGCAAAGTTACTAAACTATCCTTTTCTCCATCAACATCCAAGTAAAAAATTTAAGGGTATAAAAGTAATTTACGAGTAAGATTTTTTCTTTCCTCCCAATTTAACTTCCAATACCAAACAAGTGAAGATAAGCTCATTTTATTTCCATCTTCTCATACCAAATAATATAAAAGAAAATCAATTTCCTTTCCATCATTACTATTTTCCATCACTTTTATATTTCCTTTCTATCATGTTTTCTTTCCTTCCTACCAAACATAGTGTTAATGCATTATTATTTTTTTAAGATTATAAATAATAATTTTTTTTAGTCAAATTAAAATCAAATTCCAAATATTAATTCAAATTACATTTCTTGTTTGAATTAAAACTTTAAATACACAATCAAATGTTAGTTCAAACTATTATTTAAACCACCCCGTTAGAATTTTTATGATTACCACTTTTTGACTATATTTCTTTTATGTAATTTCTGATAATATTTTCATTTAAACAAATCAACATTTTTTTTCTGGCAATATTTTAATTTAAACAAATCAATTTTTTGACTATATTTCTTTTATGTAATTTCTGGCAATATTTTCATTTGAACAAATCAATTTTTTTTAAAGGGCATGCCATCTCATTTCCCGTTTGGTTCATAGATTAGAACCATGAGATTATAATTATTTTCGATTTACGTGTGTTTTTATGAGGAAAAATACTGTGGCGAACCATGAACCATGATTTGAATCAGATAACGAATCTTCCAACAAAACGGGCTCGCGAGCGATCGTTTCGTCACTCATCTTTTCTCTCTCTCGAACCTTCTCTTTCAAGCCCAAGATTTGCTGTCTTTCTTTGGTTCTCTCACAGACTCTCACAGAACAAAATCCACCTACTATTGTTTTTCCTTCTTCCTTTGAGTTGTGGTGATTCCAATTTTAAAGAGTTCTATCACTCTTCTATTGTCCTCTTCGGCCAAGCCATAGAGAGAGGCAATGCGATGAAAACGTGCTTTGAGAGGAGGAAAGAGAAGAGATAAGAGTTCTCATTTGAGTAAAAAAAATTTATTCCTCTCTCACAACCGGATGAACAAGTTAACCTTTAATTGTTCACTTTTTCAGCTTTAAAATTGGATTGTTAGATTTAATCCAACGATCACTATTTGTTTACGGCACATTATCAGAAAAAAGTATCCCGACAGCATAAAAAGACCACACTTTTCCGTTCTATGACAAAATATTTGTTTGAGAACATGAGCTAGTAATATGCTCGCAAGAAAAATTAAAAAAAAAAAAATTTAACTTAATTTGATAAAGATTTGAGTTTAATTAGTATGATAATTTTAAAAAACTTTATGAAAAATAACGATACTTAAAAAAATACATCCGATCAAGAAGATATTGTTTTCTATACACTACTCTCACGGACAAAGGTAAACACTCTGTGCATCGTTTGTAACACAAATATGTATCTTTTATTTCTATTTTAAATGTTTACATAGCTCTGGTCTGGCCATTTTCCTCACCGACAAACCGCTCTTGCTTTCTTAACCTTTGGCTAGTAAGATGCTCGTTTGTGAAGTACTTTTTATAATTTGTCTTTTTCCTACTAAAAAACAGGGTTAGAACATTTGAACTATTTTGGCAGCTCTAGGAAAGCGCTTCTTCTAGGAAAATGCTTCTCCATGCACAAAATAACACGCACTATGTATTGTTATGACTAATTATACTTGTTTTATAAGGTAAACGAGGCAATCATGAACATAATTATTGATTAGTCATAAACATAACTTGCATATACAATATCAGATAAAATCATGCATATTCATTCATTTAGGCGAGATTTATACTTATTTAGATTTCGCGTCTAGTATTATGTAATCTCTAAAATTTTGAATTGTTATTGTGTCCTAATTGAAATGACACCCGATTGTGAGCGTGTAATTTTTTGTGAATTGTCGCAAGACAAAATCATAGTTGATTTGGACTCATTATGAGTTTACAATAAATTTTCTAAATTCTTCTAAATTTACTCATTAATTTTCCTAAATTAACTATTAACTATTTTTTGTGATAGGTAACTAATTTCTGATTATCCAATCTTACGGAATCATCCTTAGAGAATAATCTATGAATTACGAAGTATCTTATCTTAACTATGTCATCAATTAATTATTAATTAATACTTAAATTTCCTAGTTGACACACTTCTAAATTTTATAGCATAATAAGCTTAGTAGAATAAACTAACCTCTTTTTATTTGACTATCCAGGCTACCAAAGGTAACCTTGGCCCATAATTGTCTACCTAGACTTTTTTGAAAAATGGGTAATCTTGACAAATATTCATTGAAAGTGTATGGATCATATTTTTTACTTTTTATTCTTAATTTATAACATTTTTAGTTAAATAATTACACTAATAAAATAATATTTATCAAAAATAAAGAATAAATATCCAGACTCCTGCACTCTCGAGGATAAATTCTCTATTTTTTAAAAAAGTTAAGCTTGTTGGCCTTATAAGACCCATTTGTGCTTTACAGGCCTTCGCTAATTTTGAATAAATAAGACAAATACTCATAGAATGTATGTGTTTTAGATTTTACCCTATTAATACTCTTTAATAAAAAAATATATATTAATCAAAAATCAAAAATAAAAATCTTAAAATAATATATTTAAAGAGTAAATTACTAATTTTTTCTAAATTTTTACTTAGATTAAGTGACATTTAAAACTTTTGCGTCAGATAGCCAACAAATTTTGCAATTAGATTAGTGTAGACTCAAAGTTTGTTATCTCCTTTGTTATAAATGCATTCGAAAATCTAAAACTTTTATTTATCAAAATCGTAAAGGACATTATATAACATAAATATCATTGATCTAAATCATATTTCTCGAGATTAGAAACTGCACTATTCACTAAATTGCTTCCTTAGATAATTGTGTTTGCAGAAGCTTCAATTAGTCTTTTTTGCCATTATTGTTTTAACTATTAGACTGTAGGCAGACACAATATCATTTAAATCTCATTTATTATACCGATTTGAGTTTTATTACAGTAAAAAATTTATATAAAATCACATCTTAATTCAAATCATCGAACTAAATAGGCTCTTAATATCCACTTAGGTTTCGTTCATTTTAACGATTCGAGTTTTTAGTTTTAAGTTTTTACAGTAAAAAATTATCAAAAAATGTCACATTTAATTTTTTATACTACGGTGAAAAATTCTTAAAAAATGTCATATCTCAACTCGAATTAAAAATTTAAATCCGCAAAATAAATGAGGTCTTAATAACTTTCACCTTCTAATCACAAGAGAGGAAAAAAATAATGATCTAACGTTTTCAACTAGTTTATGAAAAGATTAAAAATAACCAAAAACAACTCGAGAATGAGCGATTTAAACAATAGAATGGCAACCAGTCCAACAACACCTACCGTGTCGGAGTCGCTACGACCACTTGATCATTTGATGCTTTCTAGAAAAGTTGGTGAATATGAAATTATGAATGTCAGTCAACAAATAATAAATAAAAAAAACTATTGGCAGAATAATTGCCGCGTGGAACACGTTACGTAATATATACATGTATAACATAACATACCAAACCAAAAAAAAAAAATCTACAGAAAAATATTTTAATTCGCCTTCGTATAAACTTGGGTCTTCGTGAGAGAGAGAGAGAGAAAGAAAGAAAGAGAGAGAACTTTGGTTTGAATCCTTCTTTGGGTTTTTGCTTTTGCTGTGATCAATCGCTCTTGATTGTCGACTTCTATCTGAATTTTTCAGAAATTTCTCGTCTTTGAATCGCCTTCTCCCATGGCCACCACCGGAAACAAGAACATCAATGCCAAATTGGTGAATCTCAAAACCCCTTTTTCGAGCTTAATGTTCTGCCTTTGACTTTGTCAACTTTCGCAATTCCGATCGGTCTGTTTGTATTTTGTTGTGCAAAATTCTGAGTCTTGATTGAAATCGATAATCTTTTTGTGAATTTTGATGTCGGATTGGAATAATTTCACCAAATCTAAGAACCCTTTTCAGGATTTGGCTTATTCGGCTAAAACATCGTTTGGATTGTGCATATTTTTTGTGCAAAATTCCGATTTGTATTCTGATGTCAATTTTCAACTGTGACTTTGGGGTTTCGAACATTTATATGCTTGCTATGTGGGTCTTCTTTTATTCGCATGATCATCACCTTTTACTTCGGTTTTGCGAGATATTTTCCTTCATGTCCATGCTCTGATTGGGTGTTTCATTAGTTTTGCTTAAAATCAGATGTGGGTCTGCATAATTCAGTATGATCACCAAATTATTTTATCAATCATATTAATGTGTTTTTAGTTTATAATGAGATTGAGAGTTGGTTGTGCTTCAGGTGCTTTTGGGAGATGTTGGAGCCGGAAAGTCCAGTCTAGTTTTGCGCTTTGTTAAAGGACAATTCATTGAATTTCAGGTTGGCCTGATGATGCAAACTTTTGTTGTTAAGTCTTTAATTTATGAGACAAGGCGTTTTCTTTTGATTCGTGGAGCTTGATTTTCGCCATATTGTTTTTGTAGGAATCGACCATAGGGGCTGCCTTTTTCTCGCAAACATTGGCCGTGAATGACGCAACTGTAAAATTCGAGATTTGGGATACAGCGGGTCAAGAGAGATACCATAGTTTGGCTCCTATGTACTATAGAGGAGCTGCTGCTGCAATAATTGTGTATGATATAACAAACCAAGTGAGTAAAATCCGAAGTTGGGGGCGTGCCCGGTTTCTGTCTAGGAGAAACTTTCTTAGTAGGCCGTAAATGTACCATTTTGTTGCATGTTGCTATTACTGTTCATGTTCATCCTCCTCCTCCTGCTGCTGCTGCTGCTGTTTGTAGAGATTTACAGAACCTAGAAACTAGTAGTGGAAGCCAAGCCTCGGCTGCTCATTTAGTGATTCCTAATAAATTGGAGATTGCAGGAAGGAAAATTTTGTTCTATAGGCATATTTTCATGAATTGTATCTGCAAAATAGGACAATCCATAGATGAAATAAATGTTTGGGGGGTTCTGGAATAGAAGTAGCTTGTAAATGTTTGGAATTATTTGCTATAGGTGGAGGTTTGATCTAGTTTTTTGTTCAAGTGTTGTGTGTTTGGATGTAAAATATACGTGTATAACTCTTTGTTGTTATCTTGCAGGCATCGTTTGAGCGGGCCAAAAAATGGGTTCAAGAACTTCAATCACAAGGTTTTATTTATTTCTTTATTTTTAATTTCAGTTATGTCTATCCAAGACTTCCAGTTCATGTAATCTGTGCTTTTGTAACTTTTATTGGTTGGTAGTCAGGTAGTGAAGTTTTCTAACTTATACCTCCTGCAATTTCTTTTACTATTTTAATTTTTCATTTTCATTATCTCTACCAAAAGGCAATCCAAATATGGTTATGGCACTTGCTGGGAACAAGGCAGATCTGCTAGAGGCAAGGAAGGTGGCTGCAGAGGCAAGTTTACAAATTTCTCTTTGGTTCACCTCTGTGCTTGAATTTCTTATTTTTGTACATATCTATGTGTGTGGAAGATGCTTTTTTAAGCAATTGCAAATGGAAAAGATAATTGTACTGATTTTCTAATGTCTTTTATTTCATGAGTTTTGAGAATATGGGGTCATAAAGGCTGAAGAGATGATGGTAATAAAATTTACGCTGTTGACATCATGCTTAGATGTGTAAATGATTTTCTAGTTCTCAATTTCTTGTATGAACAAATAGCAGAAAAACGGGAGGAATCATTATTTGAAACTAACTATAGGTGGACATATCTTTTTCTTTTTCCGAGGATAAAATGGTTAAGAGATCTGTTAGACTTCATATTTAATGTACAAAATAAGAAATAGCAGGCAATGTAATCTTTAAAAGATAAAAATGCGTCAATATGGTATAATTACATCTATCAATCTGCAGAAAAGTTGTACACCGGCATTAGTGAGTAGCTAAAGCAGCATGCTTTCGTCACTTCAAGTGCGAAGCTCCAACATATCTACTTTATTTTTGTCTTACTGTCATTTATACGTGCACTTGACTGCAAGGGCAACCAGTTATTGCGAATAGAAATATTATATCATTAGTTACTTTGGTTAAAATTTTGGTAAGATTTTATGTAGAAAATGGTTTCATTTTTTTTAATGCAAATACTATGTTTGCTTCATGCTCGTGTTAGCTGGCTTACTCTTAGGTCGGTTGAGAAACATAATGCTGAATCAACTTATTCCAAAACTTACCCCATGCAAGAATACTATCTTTCACTTTTTGTTATATTCTTCTTGTTACACACTCAGCATATAAATTGTTAATTTTTGCTCAAATGATTGCTGCTATTTTTCAGGAAGCTCAAGCTTATGGTCAAGAGAATGGTCTTTTCTTCATGGAAACCTCTGCAAAAACTGCAACCAACGTCAATGACATTTTCTATGAGATCGGTAAGCCAAAGAATATGTTATAAGAAAAGAACCAAGCTATTTCTGCTCGTTCACCTTTCTTTCGTAATAAAGATGTTGATTAATGCTTTGGTTTTCTCAAATTTTGTGCGCAGCAAAGAGATTGCCTCGAGTCCAGCCGGCGCAGAACCCATCAGGAATGGTCCTCATGGATAGACCTGCAGAGAGGGTCGCCAGTGCATCTTGTTGTTCTTAAGAAGCCTTTGGTGCGTCTTATCTCCACCTGCGCATACTCTGCAACAGCTCTTGTGATGCACAGTAAAAACGATGTTTTAGATTTTATCCAGTTTCTATTTTGTGTACATTTGTTCAGAATTGTACATCCATGTTTCTTTAGATGCGTCCTTCTAAAGGGAGTGAAAAGCTTGCGGAGAATATCTTCTAATGAAATGATGGTTTGTGATGCTTATAGTTACCGATATCGATTTCTTATTTTTTGTTTGTTGCCCTTTTGGGCGAGAGTAAGCAGGGATGCGGATGAATCTTATGAGCCAGATTGTTGCAGTCGAAAAACCTGAGTATATAGGGCTAGTTTGACATTATTGTGTTGTCGAAAATTTTGTTGAAAATTTTTACTGCTATTGTGTTGTTAATAATAAATTGTTGTGATTAGAAGCATATAGGTGTTTGGTAATATTTTTACAAAAATGTTGTGAATACCATAAGCAGAAATTTAAGTGTTTGGTAAACTGTCTATAAAATTGCTGTAAAGATGTATAATGATGAAAGTAGATATATTTTAGAACATTTATAGTTAGTTTTTATTTCTATTTTTACGTCAATATTCAAAATATAAAAAATAAATTTTAATTTATTAATTAAAATGTTTCTTAAATGTAAATTGTTTTTATTGTTAGAGAAAAAATATTATTCCACTAAATTTCTTATTTATTGTTAGTATTTTAAACATTTTGTTAATTAAAAATATTTGAATAAAATTTAGCATAATATGCTTGTTAAAGATTATCAATTGTAAATAACTATTTTAAAAATACACGTGTTTTAATTTGATATAGAAAAAGTAAATTAGATAGATTGAGAATTAAATTTTATTAGTAAAATTATCTTTATAAATTTAAACAACGGTAACAACAGAAGTTACTGTATAAAAATAACTCTTAACATGTTTTTCAAATTATGTAGTTTGACAATAGTTTTTAAAAGTTGTCAAATAAAAATAGGATTTACTAAATGTTGTAATTTTTTTTAAAAAAGTCAAAAACAACTTATAAATGTCTCGTTGATTTCACCGATTTGAGTTTAAAATTCTAGTTTTGTTATACTAAAAAGTTCTCAAAAAATAGTCACATTTAACTTTTTTGTTACAGTAAAAAATTCACATAAAGTCACATCTCAATTAGAATTAAAAACTCAAATTATCGAATTAAACTGACCCAAAAGTAATGGCAAACAGCCAATAACTTATAAACTACGTAAAAATGAGTACTCTGACACGATAGGTGACCTTTAAACCATTCATTTCATTCAGAGGTAGTTTGGTATGCAGTGGTTCTATTCTCAAATGAGAAGGTAACATGAACCTCTGAAAAAGGTAGGTTTTGAGACTAATTCGAATTTGGATTGTGAAACATACCCGTGTATTTAAGCTGAGAAAAGAAAATACTTGAGTAATGCTTTGTCAGTAAATATGTTATTTACTTCAACTGTTTTAAAAATGTCATTTACTTTAAAAAAAATGTCTAAAAAATATGTTATTTACTACAATTATGGATGTCCTATTTCGCTTCATCAGTCTTTAAGTAGCAACCTTGTTGGACATCCATTTCCAGAAATCCATTGAAAAGTCTTGATGGAATTTTTTTTAAGCTCTGTTTATTTCATTGATTCGAGTTTTGTTATAGTAAAAAATTCTCATAAACAGTCACATTTAACTTTTTTACTATAATAAAAAAACTCATATAAAATCACATCTGAATTCGAATTAAAAACTCGAATTAGTAAATTAAACGGGCTTTTTATTGGCTTTATATTCCGTGCAAGACTACTGACGCGGTAGACGTTACCATCAAAATTACACGAAAAAACTCTTCTGCATGTTATAAATTGTAAACGCCATTTGTCAATTTATGTAACATTCTACAACGTTTATTAAATTCCAAGCATAAGTTGCACTTGAAAATGTGAGGATAACTTGTCAATTCATTCAAAGTTTCAAATGGCGAAATGCATATTTTAGGAGATCTTGGTCCTTCATCCACAATTCTCGGTCTGGAATTAAGATGTAGCAATGCATTCTCAATTTTTGTAAGGAATTAAACTAGTTTAGGGCCCGTTTAGTTCGCTGATTTGAGTTTTTAATTCGAGTTGAGATGTGATTTTATATGAGAGCTTTTTACTGTAACAAAAAAGTTAGATGTAATTATTTGTGAGAACTTTTTACTGTAACAAAATTTGAATTCTAAACTCGAATTAACGAAATGAACGGGCCTTTATTTTTATTTTTCATTTGATATTTCCGAGCCGATAAGATCACAACTCACAGAATACGCTTGAATTCAAAATTTTCAGATCATAAACAGAAAAAATTCAAAAGTACTAAAAAGGAAAAAAGAAAATGGAAAATTGAGCCAAAATCCAGAAAGCCTGCTTAATTTACGCGATGGAGCAGAACATAAAGAGTCAAAAACTCAACAGACATACCAGCTCTGAATAAGAGAAAAGGAGCATGGAATTATCTGACCTAACGCAAGTGCAATACTAAAACTCTCCTAGTCAACAAACCAAAAAACCATTTTAGACACTAATCTGAAAGTCTTTCAAATTTCATTTGACGCTCGTCCAAGATGTCCATGTTCTTCCTCTTCCTGGACAACTTGGTCGGATTTTGAAACCCGTTATCCTTGTCACAGAACTGAGCAGCCGTCCGGGCACGTAGCTCTTCCAAGGTTTCACCCTCTTTAGCGCTCTCCATAACCTGAAGATAAAGAGAAGCAAGCATAGCTGTTAAAGGAGGAAACCGAGTTTAACATGTTAGTAATATATATATATATATTGCTTGAAAGTGCTTGAAGGGCATTTTGTGTCTCTTGCTTTGTAACGTACTCTACAAATGCAAAGCCTCTATGACTCCCAAACCTCATTGGCAGTTTTAAGCTCTTAATCTGGATCATTACATAATGAAACTAAGAGTTTAAATCAGGAAAACAACATGTTGGAATAGGGTAGCTAATAAATTCTTCATCACAATCTCCAAATTTATGCCTCTTTTTTTTTTTTTAATTTAATTTCATTCTTTATTGTTTTTATTTTGGCAACAAATTGGCAAAACTAGTATTTTATTACTATACAAGGGAAAATGTTATTCTTAATTTCGCGTTTCTCTACCAAAATACAAAGCGAGTTTTCTAAGCAGTCCTTTTCAACGATCCTTTTTTTCCCCCTTTTAAACTTGGCAATAAATTCTAATAATATGCTTATTTAGTTTTGCATATTACACAAGAAACGTGAAAACTAAGAAAATTCCACACCCCTCATGCATTTGACTTGCTTAGATATCAAGGAAAAAGACATCAAATATGAATACACAAATAAGCACGCACGTAACTAGAAATTTTTAGCCACACAAATATGCATACACAGTATGCGCTTCATGCTTGCATTTTTCCCCCACTTTTCCAACACTGGTTGACAACAATTTACAGCAGCAACAAACAAACCCCATTTTTTTTTAAGTTTACTCATATAATACTTTTCATGTGATACATGTAATACACACCCACACACACACATAAAAACAAATAGTAATCACCTGGCCAAAAGGACTAAACAGTTGTCTGAGATCTTTCTTTGTTGCCTGGAAAGCTACGTTTCTTACTAAAAACTTGGTTGAACTTCTATCATCCACATTCTTTTTCCGAGCCTGATCATCTTTCTTGCCATGACAAAGTTGCAAGATGAGAGCGTGCCCGTCCAAAATAGTTCCCTAGAAAAAGAAGAAAATCTAAGGATTTAGGTCAAACTTCCAGACTTGCTAATAAATTTATGCAATGTTGATTGCATGTGCTACCTTTAAATATATGCACACATTTGTGGCTGTCTCCATGGAGTCGAACTCAATAAAACCATAGCCCATTGAAACATACTTCCCATGCTTCGAGTGCTGCATTACCTGCAAAATTAACAGGATGAGATTACAACGTAAGAGAAAATGTATCATCCATGGACATAGATAGGGATGCAGATAAATTACCTTGGCGCTTAAAATTGTTCCCTCCTTCATGTGTTCAACAAAATGCTTTTTCAAACTCTCATCAGATGTCTTAAAATTCAGGTTCTTGACAAAGACAGTCCGTGACTGTAAAATGTTGCACATGAAAGGAAATAATTTAATAGAAAATATCAAAAGCTGTCCCAAAATGACAAATCGGTAAATGATGCAGCACTGTATTTAGTAATAATGCCACAAAGTAGATCCAAAAAGTTGCATAACCAATCAAATCTTCAATACCAAAAGTCTCAAACATTTTTCTAATTGCTAACACTTGTTTTAACTTGAGCTTTTTAGTCTAAAAGTTCATTAAACGTGTGGTAACAATTGAAAAGCAAGAAGAATAAAGTCTAAAAAACTCACTAATTATTTTTATTAGTGAAATAAAAAACTTGAAAAGTAAATCTGGTAATGTTAACTGATTTGAGAAAAGATATATTAATTTATTTTTAGCAAAGTTAATTTCTATTTTCCCTGCCAAGGTGTTGTAGCATTGTTTATAAAAGGATTCTACTATAAGCAGGGACAGTCTAGTGAATTGGAATACTTGCTAGAACAGATTGGACAAGTTATAAATAAGTACTTGCATTTATTTATCACAATGTCCGAACTTTTCAATAAATGTAGCTTTAATTGGTGATTCTAGCAGTAAACAAAATTTTTTCTACAACCTTGATGCAGGCAGAAATTATGTCGCACTATATTGGAATTCACTCAGTAGCTCTAAAATATAGCCCGTAGTTTAGACCATAGACTGCATAGGTATCATGTAAAGTTTGAAATTCCCAAAAGCTCCATACGTTATACCAACCATTCATTGGCATAAGTACCAGTACTCTCTTACTATGATAGTAAATATGAAGAAAGTGCTATCTGAATAATTTAGCATGATTCTCATGAACCAAATTAAAACAGCCAACACCCAGGAACACATGGACAAATAAATTGGTGGACGCACACGCATACTCAACTCAGAAAACACAGTGGGTGCAGTACGCAAGCAGAATATTGAAAGAACGACAAAAGAAGGTAAAAAAAAAAAAGCAACAAAAATGTAAAAATGGAAAACAACTGCTTTATGGAGACTAAATAAGACAGAGGGTTGTGCCTCCTATTTGACATGCATCCAAACGATGTAAAGATGAGATACGGCATAATCAAAAGAAGGAATACGGTAAAACCAGATGCGTAAGAAGAAAAAATAAATAAATAAATAAAAGATAAGGCATGCCAACCTCAACACTATCAGGATCAGGATCCACATCCGGTACACCCTCCAGATGTTGTTCTAAGATAACTCTCTTTGCATCATGTTGACCAACAACGTCACTGTTCTCATTGCCTTCAGATGTTGAACTTAAACTAAGAACATTGGCCGGAGCCCACTCTAGATACAATGGAGCATCCCTATGTTTTAATAAAGAGGCAATAAGAAGTTTATATTTATACCAGAAAATTAGAGGCAAAAAATTAAAGAAAACCCGCATACGGGTAACATTAAAAGATGCACATAAGTAAAACGAATAATATAAACCAACTTAAAACTGTAGTGCATAAATGGCCAACTAGAGGTCCATTTCAAATAAACGGTCGATAAATATATTATTTTTCCAATTTTTTTAAATTACCCAATTAAGTTCAACCCACATGGCCAACACAGGATGTGAGATGAATCTAACATCCAAGAGTTGTGCATCTTGAGTGTGTCAGAGAGAGAGGGAAAGGAGTGGAAAAGAAAAAAAAAAAAAAAAAAAAAAAAAAAAAAAAAAAAAAACTACAACAACTAACTCTCCAGCCTCCTCTCAACAAGTATGATGCATGATCTATCTAGTGCTTCGAAATCAGTAAGCAGCAAACATTGAACTACTCCTATTTAAACATATATAGCTATGTATGATCAGTCGTGTTCGAAATCAAGCAACAAAATAATACTCAAAACTTTGAAAGGGCACAAAGATAGAGACATCTATACCAAGAGCTGATAAACACAATCCATACTTGTAATTCCCCTTGGTCAAGGTAATTGGATCGTGAGGCCAACAATAAATTCCTTTAAGCTGTCATTTCAAGTAATTTGAACATGTTCCATCATTATAGGTGATGTATTACAGAATTGAAATAGGAACAATAGAGTTAGAATAGCTATAAGTCCAAGGTTATGAAAATAAAAAATGAAAAATTGAGGGAAAAAAAAGAACAACTATTTTCAAAACTGAGTAAACATGATGTCAAATGATGTGAACCAATTTCACTCCGAAACTTATGCATGAAAGATAACTACACATAACAACCTAAGCAAAGACGAGCTTACTTGTACCGCCTGTAGTTTAATCCTTTAATAGCTTTACGAGCTTCGGCTGGTTCAAGAAAAACAACCTAATATATCATCCAGAAAAGTAAGAACAAAAGAGAACTAAGAAACGAAAAACTAGAAAACAGAAACAGAACACTCGAAAACAGGGCATAATTTTACTTGATGGGTTCAATCAATATGCAGACGTCCCATTTTGTCTTTTAAGTGTTAACGAGCCTCTAGTTTTTCCTCTTTTATCCTGTCTTATTATCCATTTATTTATTTATTTAATAAAACTAATTCTCCTGTTTTGTATTTTCTAAAATCAGAAAACAAAGCTTTCTTCCACTTCCAAGTATAAAAAACAGAAGAAAATATTAAAAAAAATTAAAATAAAAGATAAAAAATAAAAACTAGAAAGGAAGTTTAAACTAAGTCCTGCTGCAATAGTGCATGCTATTATGCCATGTTCTTCAACCATGCAAAACAACAGACAAACTGATAATACAACAATGCTAACTCTGCCACTCTTCTTATTGATATACAACCTCACTTATCCTTCCACTTTCAGTTGCCTTGAAACAGGACATTCCCATCAGAATTATATGAACTGGCCCACTGGTTATAATCACCAAAACAATAACAATAACAATAACAACACTAGTTATAACAATAACAATAATAATAATACTACTAATAGTAGTAGTAGTAGTTTATAAACTGTTATTAACTGATTGATTAATCATTATTATACTAAAAAAAATAAGCAGGAGCGCTAGACTAAATTTACGTGCGTTACCTGGATGAACTACAAGTTAGTTTAGTCAAATTTTTAATCATGAGATGATAAATTTTACATTGAATATATATATATATATATGTAGAGGAAAGAATGTTAAACTTTATGTGAGTTTTTCTTATAAGAAAACATAATGAGAATTTAATCATTGAATAAGATTAACAGATCGAAATCATAGAGTAGATATTTGTTTAATCAACTTGCAACATGCAATGCAGAAGTAAATTAGTTAAGAAAGGTAAATATTTTTTCAGAGGGACACAAGAATGCATACCAAGGCCAAGGTCTTCGTTGGAGGGAGAATGATCTTGTCCAGACTCCCGAATTCACCAAACATCTTAGCCAATTCACTATCAGAAGATCCATATGGCAAGTTCTTTACTACCAAAACATGGTTGCTTCTTTTAATACCACCAGTCTTCCCAGTGGCAAAGTCCTCTAAAGCTTCTACATTTACTCCGGCATTTTTAAGAGCCTTTTTTGTCTCTGCAATCACTTGAGTTTCGCCAAGAGCAAGGCGTACAGCAAGATCATCAGCTTCCGTGTTAAGGAAATCACCCTTACTCACACTATATTTCCTAGCAATATTTTCAACAACCTACCAAAAAATAAGGAAAAAAAAATGGGAAAGAGGAACCAATTTAAAAAACAAAAAAGAAGAGAGAAAAAAAGACAGCAACAAAAGTGGTCAAATTGTTAAAAATGACATAAATACCCTTAATGATCAATATTTAAACATTATCTTAAATATTAATAACTAAGAAACTAAATTTAGAGAAAAAAAAGGGTAAAATTTTGAATAAATAAATTCTATTATTTTGCAAAAAATCCAAAACTTAACAGGTCAAACTTATCTAGCTCCAAATAGGATCTTGCACCATTAACACATGGCTGGTGGACTTAGACATGTCAAATCGGTCCCGTACTACATTGAATCCTACTCCACGGTCATCCAAACATGTTCCTTTTTTTTCTTGATTTTATTTAGTTTAAAATTTATGTTTGAAAAGTTTTACATAATTAATGGTCAAAATAATATTTAACTAGTAATTATTGAGGTTATTTTTGGTATTTCAAAAACTTCGATCAGTTAAAGGTTTATATCTTCACTCTTTTGAAAAATGTAGGGAATAATTTTGGAATAGCCTAAAAACAGAAGGGACACATTTGGATTGTAAAAAATATAGGGGTAAACGTTGGATTTAGCTAAAAGTTAGGGGGTACTTTTTGGATTTTCTCAAAATCCAAGCTAAACGACTTGATTCCTATAACCACTAAGGATTAAGGCAAAACCATACCCGAAGACTTTAGACACTAGGGACAAGTGTAAAGAAAAATGAGAAGGAAAAGCATAATAAATCATTTGAAGAAAAATGCTCGGACAACAAAATTCCCGACATGTTAACTTTTCCTGGAAACTTAGCAGAGGGAAAGATAATTGAGGCCATTTGTGCATATGACTCGACAATATGATATAACTTTTGTTAACATACAGTATCAGGGCGCATGAATAAAGTATTCCATGCTTTTGTATTTCCACTAGCTTCTGATGACTTCCTTTCTTCCACCCTCCGTTGCTTAAAAGTTTTTAAGCCTTGACTCGTTGCAGCAGCAGTCCTACAAAAAAAAAAAAAAAAAGTCAAATCCATGCTTGCAGAGAGCCCAGAAAGCTGAGAACCAGTAAAATCAAACTGTACTAGCAAACAAAGAATGCTCTGCGAATGCTATAAGAGAGAGATGCTAAACAGCATCCTGCTTACTCTAGCTTCTCTGATGGATTTTTCTGCTTTGCCAGCATAACATGCAACAGTCTTCCTTGGAAACTTGAATTGTCTAATTCTTCTAATGCCCTTCAAAAGAAAATGATAATTTAGAGACAGGAGAGCAATAGATTTGCGTAAATAACCAAGCTGCATGTACATGGTGACCAACAAACAAAAAGGTCGACAGACGTGAAAATCATATGCAGTACTGAAAGGATTTCATTAGTGGCCAGTGGCCACAAACAACATGGTATTATATGGGGAACAAGAACAAAGATTAATAGCCCATAATAAAGGTCTCCGGCATCTAATATATGAAAGAAAGAAAAAAAAAAAAAACACGTAAAAGTAATTCTTATCTACAAATTCTCTTTTTGATTCATTTTGAGTTCTAAGGCTAAAAGACAGGCAGGCAAGAAATCCACTAAATTGAAGTCATAACATTTCAAGGCAAAAAATAAGGATAGCAAGCATGGTATTCTATTTGTGGACCAAGAACAAGAAGCTAACCATATTTCGGCTGGTGATCAATCCATAGATACCGATAGAAAATCAGTAGGCACTCAAAACAAGTACATGTTCGAGCATCATTGACCAACTCCTTATCAATTTCAATTCAACAAATATGGTTCAAAGAATAGTGGAAGAAAATAAATTAAGCTCGAAGCACAAAGACATACCTTGCTGCACACTCCGGAAGTGTATATAGAATATAAGCAATTCCCTTGGAACGTTTGGTATCTTTATCAATAGGAATGTGGACTTGTGAGATAGACCCAAATTTTCCAAACACCTCCTCCAACTCCTCTTCGCTGATCAAGGAACTTTTATTAAGTATTTCATTCATATAATAGAAAACAAGAAATGTCCAAAAGATAACTTGTGTAAATAAAATTTGTCAAGAGATGCAACATAATTAATTGTTTCATCCGCTGAACAGGAGATATGTTATTAAACAAACTGTACACATTAAAAGAGAAGGGCAAGTACGTTGTAGAATATGGCAAATTACGAACAAAAAGGCGATTTCTGTCAACTTCTTTCTCATCTTGGTCGAGCATTTCACTAGCACCATCCTCCTCAGTACCTCGCGTTCCATCCTCTCTACCCGAAACATCTATCTCAGAGGAATTCAGTTGTCTATTTGGAACGTCTTCTTGAATATCCAGCCACTTAGCGCGCTCTTCTAAGGAACTGTCATCATCCATGTCATCATCACTGTCACTGCTGTCTGACTCAGACCAGTTCTTCTTCACTCTACTCTTAAAGTAATCCATATCTGAAATGACATCATCACGAGCAGGACTTTGTTCATCGTTTATTGCCTGCATGTCTGATGATCTGTACTCCGACCCATCATCTTCATCCGACTCCATAGGCACAACAGCTGATTTCTCTATGCTTTCCTTCTTTTTCGCAGTTTGCTTCTCTCTAACTTTACCATTTTGGTCAACTACAGGAGCCACCAATGTGTCATTTGCCCACAGTTTTGATTTAACTCTTGGTTGCATTACCTCAAGAAATTCTTGGAGCTCAGGATCAAAATCATTGTCCTTTATCAGAATCTTTTTCTCACTTTCTAATTTCCCAGGGCTTCGATTTTTACTCTTGGCGATATTCTTCCCATTTTTTGTTTTTTCATCTTTTTTCTTTAATGAATGCCGACTCCATGGGATTGGAGCATTTGGATCTCCAACTTCATGAGCAATCTGGAAACAAATGAGACTTTTCTGTCACATTTCAAGCTAAATATTCTTGGATTGGATGTGATATTACCTGTTTCAATCATTTACGGAATCTAGATTGAAAAAATAAATATGAATCGCCAAAAAAATTATTCTGATTTTTTTTTCCCTGTTTAATATTGCAACTTCAGAATAACAATATGCAAATTCACAACTACACCGAGAATTCTTCATAAAAGTGTGCAATTCCAAATTCTAGAATCAAAAGACCAAACAAGGGAAAGAAGAGAACAATAGAAGAAAGTAAACCTCACAAATTATTTTTGAAGTATCAAAGAAGGATTTGTTGAAGTATCGAATAGCTTCTTGGGCTTCGCGCTCCGTTCGATACCCGATGAACCCGAATTGTCTACTCTTTCCATCCCTGAAGAAACCCGTAAATTACAGGGTCAGTCATAACAAGCAATATAGTTTAAAACAGAAAACAAAAATAAAATCAAAACTACAAATAATTAGCAGAGGATTTGAATACTTGGTGCGCTTAAGTTGCACGTCAGTAATTTCCCCTTTCCGAGAAAATTCTTTTCGCAGGTGATCCTCCGCCACATGTTTCGGCAAATTCTTCACGATTATCCTCGACCTAAATACCAAATTTTTGACATAATACGCATGAGTGAGCGTGAAATTTTCTCTCTTTCTAATGCTAAGGGGAAAAAAATGGAAATTTTTCGTGAACCTTTTCTTTTTCCCAAACGGGTATCGAGTTTTCTCATCATCCAAACACAACTTTTCTGGCTTTCGAAAAAACAAAAAAAAAAAAGAGTTAAAATTGGTAATGGAAAACTTACATTTTTGGAACTGAAAATAATGGAAATAGGAGGGCTGTAGAGAGTTCCAAGCAGAAAAGAAGCACTATAGAGAGAAAGATGGGGAGAAAACGTTTGTAGAGCTTCCGAGCGGCGCTCAAAAACTCCGCTAAACGAATAATACGGCGCCGAAACTTAAAATTTGGAAAGGAAAAAAGCACCAATCGGCGTCGCGATACATTCGTTAAGACATTAGGGGAAGCGTGGACGTGGCCATATGCAAATGCAAGTCGCTCGAGACGATCTTAAATTTTGTCTCTCTTTTTAGGGCAAATCTTATTGGGTCTAGCTTTGATAAATTGTGTTATAAGGTAATTATCTTTTAATATATTGTATTTTTTATAATTTTAAATTAGTATCGCGTCGTTTTAAAAAATTATTTTTTAAGTATTTTGAAGTTATTTTTTTATATATAAAATGTTAAATTTATTATTTTTATTATTTTATTAAAAATTAATATATTTAAAAAAATTTGAAAAATTTATTTTTAATTTAAAGCATTAATTTTAATTTTTAAATGTTAAAAAAAATTAAAATTTTTCTAAACATATTATTAGTTTTTTGGTTAATTAATTAGAATGGTAACTTTGACATAATTCTAAAAAATGATCTTAAAGTACTAAAAAATGATTTTCTAAAACGTTGAGGTATCAATTTAAAATTATTAAAACACGAGATACTAAAAAACAATTATGTTAAAACATAGGATACCAATATGAAATCTCCCATTTTTTATTGTTGGATTTGGTAAAAATGTAAGAGTTAGGAGTGAATAAAAAACCCGACAATTCAACGAACTCAATTAATTGACTCAATTCATAGCTCGTTTATTAAACCGTAAAGGAATATAATGAGAAAGATAATGGGATTGAAAAAAAAGTAAAGTAATAAAATTAAGGGTCATTCGTTCTCTTTTATGTGTTAGTTGACTATTAGATAGTGTAATGAGAAATAATCTCATTTTTTTTCCTTATGTTTACTAAAATTAAAAATAAAAATATTATAAATGTAATCACTAAAATGTTCTTTTGTACAATTTAATAATCATTAACTATAAATTAATTCATTAAGAGTAAAAAAGTAAATTTAACATTATATTGACCATTATCTATTGTATTTCATTATACGCTATAATTACATAAGGTATTACATAATTATAATATGTTTATTTTAATATAATATAATATATTATTAGATTATATTTGTTTTAATATAATACAATATAGTAGAATATAAGATAGTTGTAATATTGTAATATTATATAAGTGAAATATCCGTACTTTTAATTATATAATAAATATTATTTTTTATATTTTATATATTATAATAATAATAATATAATTACTAGTATAATTAAAAATATTATAAGTATATTAATTAATCAATATCATAATATTATTATATGTTATATCACAATTATATAATATATTATATGTTTATCGTTTTACTATAGTATATTACATTTTATACATTATATTGATATATAAAATATTAGTGCTTTATATATAACATAAGGGTAATATTGTCAACATAAAAATAATCATGTTCCATTCTATAGTATTCCTAAAATTACAAACAAGTAAATGAATCAACTTTTATTTTCCATTCATTCCATTACCGTTCCCACTCACATTCCCATTATCATTCCTCAAATGCAACTGAATGCACCTTTCTAATAATATATTATATTATATTAAAATAAACATATTATAATTATAATTATGTAATACCTATTGGAATTATAATATTATATTAATATTTAATTATATTAGATATTATAATTATATTAATAGTTATATTATTATTATATTAATAGTTATATTATTATTATATTAATAGTTATATTATTATTTATATTAATAGTTATATTATTAATTATATTAATAGTTATACTATATAGTATAATTATATTAAATAATATTACATTATAATTATAATATATAATATATAGCATATTATCATATTATTATAATTGTATTCTAATTATTAATATAATTATAATATTAACAATTATAATATTCAAGTGTAATTATGAAAGAAAAGAGCAAAAAATATATTAATAGTTATATTATTAATTATATTAATAGTTATACTATATAGTATAATTATATTAAATAATATTACATTATAATTATAATATATAATATATAGCATATTATCATATTATTATAATTGTATTCTAATTATTAATATAATTATAATATTAACAATTATAATATTCAAGTGTAATTATGAAAGAAAAGAGCAAAAAAGCTTGAAATGATCATTCCTCCCGTGAGGGGAAAGAATGATAATTTACCCACTTTATGAAAAAACCATTCCATTTTGAATGACTATTCATTTTCTAAAAGTCGACCAAACATCATAGTGAAGCTCCATTGCTTTTTTTTCATTCTTTTTCCCCCAATCAAACACAACCTTAGGGTGTGTTTGGTTGGGTGGAAAGGAATTGAATAGAATGGAATGGAATTCTAATTTGATATTTGGTTGAATTTATAATAAATGAATGATCATTCAAAAGGAATGATCATTCACTCATTTTAGGTAAATCATCATTCCTTTCTCATATGGGAGGAATGGGCATTCTAAGTTCTTTTTTATTTTTTTTCATAATTACTCTTCAATATTATAATATAATTAAAATATATTATATAGTAATTATATCTTATAATATAATATAATATATAATAAAAATTATAATTGAATTAGTTGTAATATAATCGTAATTTTTAATTATATTATAATTGAATTATTATTGTTTATTATATAATCTTATGATATATTTTATAAAATTATAATTATATTAATAATCTTAATAATATTATTATATTATATATCATAATTATATAATATATTATATAATAATAATTGTATTATATTATATTACATTTTATATATTATATTGATAGATAAAATATTATTGTTATATATAGTATAAGGGTAAGTTTGTCAACATGAAAATATTCATATTCCATTCCAGAGAATTCTTAAAATTACAACTAAACAAATGAATCAACTTTCTTTTCCATTCCATTCTCATTACCATTCTCATTCTCATTCCTATTACCATTCCTATTACCATTCATCCACTGTAACTAAACGCACTCTTATGGCATGTTTACTTATCAGGAGTAGGGAATGGGAATTGGGATTCAGAATCAACTCTATGTTTACTTACCCATTTATATCCTGAAATGGGAGTGAAAATGTGTGGGTCCCACACCAATTTGGGGTTGAGGAATGGGATTGGCACTCCCCCCACCCCCCACCGAATTGACACTCTCATTCCTGATATTAAATGCGAAGTTATGAATTTACCCTTAATTTTTCTCATTTATTTAACTCTCTAGAGTTTATTTCTCTCTTTCTCTCTCAGCCATTTACCATCTCCTCTTATCCTATTCTGCTGGTTCTTCAATTTACAGGTAGGACATAAATCATCTTTTATTTTTGTTTTCGGTTTGCTTTTTTTGTTTTTTGGGTTGAACACATTGATAATGGTTTACTTTAGTTAGTTTTGATGTTCCTTTCCTTGTGTGGTGCGTGTGATAATGCCTACCAAACAAATTACAACTGTTCCTCCTTTTTCTTTTGCTTTTCAAGAATAATGAAGACAAATAAGAGGGACCTTGCTATCAAGGTTTTGGACGTTGATAATGTTTTTTTTGTCCTTATTTTAATTTAATTTTTTATGCCTCTTTATTTCTTTAAAAGATGTTTTGCCATTTATCAAGGTTTTACACGTTGATAATTTTTTATCCCTCTTTGATGTTTCTTTATTTTTGTCTTGCACGTTGTTACATACTATTGTTATGGAATTCTTCAATTTCAAGATTCATGCAACTTTGTTATATGGTTTAGTTATATTTTATACATGACTTGTTCATTTCTTATTTAGAATGAGTTTCATTCCAGCTTCTTTAACTCAAAGAGGACGAGGTCAAAACAAGCATTATTGGACAACATAATAGGATGACGCACTGATAGAGGCATGGTTCGAATTGAGTCAAAACGCGATGTGGCGGGCTGATTGTGGTTTTAAAAATGGGTATTTGCTTCAATTGGAGACAATGATGGAGGCCAAATTATCAGGTTGTGCCATCAAAGCATCTCCTCATATTGAATCTCGTGTGAAATGATTTAAGCAAAAATATTGTGCAATGACAGATATGTTATCTCTTAGTGGGTTTGGATTGGACAATAATAAGATGATATTACAATGTGAAAAAAATGTGTATGATGAGTATGTTAAGGTACGTGTAATAAATTTTTTTCACAATGGTTGTTACTTGGTTATTATTTAGTGAATTAACAAATGTTATTTAACTTGTTTAACAGAAGCGAAAAGATGCTACTAGTTTATATGGAAAACCTTTTCCTCATTATTACACTTTGGGTGAAATTTATGGATGTGATCAAGCTACAGGCATTGGTGCTGGAAATGCAGATGATGATGAGGAAGAGGTCCGCCAACAAGATACCATGAATGTAAATTTAGGTGTTGACTCAAATATGAATGCCTTTGAAGAGAATTTCATGGAAAATGATATGCACTACAATCAGCAACTGAGTGTTCAACAGGGCCAACCATCTAAAAGCTCTCCAAGCGTTTCCACTCACAAGACAAAGACCAAAGGTAAAAATAAAGACAAGATATTAGAGAATATGTGCTCCAAGATTGGGTCGATGGCCAAATATGTGGCAGCAATGGTACCCAAATTAGATGGTCTCATTGATGTGTTTTCCACTACTGACAAGGATTTAGCTGGATTACAAGCCAACTTGTATTAAGAAATGATGAAAATTGATGGCTTAGATGATGATCAAGTATATGATGCCACCAATATTTTAGCAACAAAGCATGATTTGCTTTGTGTATTCTACAACATTCCGAATCAACTCAAGAAGGGATACATCCTCAAAATTCTTAGTCGTGGGGTTTAAGTGTTAGATTAGCCAATTATTAGTTTACTTAGATTATTCCGGATGTATTTTTCGATTTATGGCTTGGAACTTCTTTTTGAAAGTTTATGACTTAAAACTTAGTTATTTTGTTTTTATTTTATTTCATCATCATATTCTTTTCTTGAAATTGAGTTAAAATTTATTGAGAAAAATAACTTAGATGAATAATTAGGTGTGATTAAAAAAATCTAATTACTAGTTAGTTATTTTAATATTAAGATAGTTAGCATAATATAAATTTTTTTTTTAAAGTTAAACACACAAAAATCTACTAAAAGGGTAGATAAGTAAA